TACATCTTGATTGCATGTTTGACAAATTTCAAATTGAAGAAGTTGGTAGAATTCTTCTATTTTTTCTTCACTAGCTTTAGTGGTTGGTGCATAAATTTGAATAATAGTGGTATTAACTGGGCTTCCTAGTAGATGCATAGATATTATCCTATCATAGATAGCGTTGTACCTCATGACTGATCTGGATATGTTCTTTTTGATGATGAATGCAACACCATTCCTCTTCAATTTGTCATTCCCAGCATAATAGACCATGTGGTTGTCAGATTCAAAATTTCCAATATCAGTCCATTTCAGCTCACTAATGCCTAAGATATCAATGTTCATGCATTCCATTTCATTTTTGACAACTTCCAATTTTCCCATATTCATATTTCATAATTCCATGTTCTGATTTTCAGTGGATGTTTACAGCTGTTTCTCTTCATTTTGAGTTCTGCCCCATTAACAAATGAAGGTCCCGCGTGTTTTTCTCCCATGAGTTTTACTCCATTTACGTTATCACAATGAACTCTACTTTAAGGAGGCAGCTCTTCGCCATTCGCATTTTGAGTGCCTTCCAATCTGAGGGCTCATTCTGCGGCACTCTATCTGACAGTGTTTCTCTGATATTCATAAGGTTTTCTGTGACTAAAGATTCTGAAGTATTTTGTCACTCTTTCTTCCTAGTCTGCCTTTGTCTCGAAGTTCATCTGAAACCTGTCCACCATAGGTGACCCTGCTGGTATTTAAAATACCGGTGGCTTAGCTTTCAGACTCACAGGAGCTCACCAGCCACCACAGTATGACACACTGACAGACGAGTGGTGGTTGTTTGGTTTTAAGTGGAAACTGTCACTTTAAATTTTGAGATCTGTGCAAATGGGTAATAGAACCATCCAGTGGTGGGAGTTGGGTATCCATTCGCTCAGGCATCCCCTCCAGTTACCAAAATAAAGGTGCGCAGACAGCGAGAGACCAATGAACAGATACAAAAAAATGAATGTGTATACCTGTATCTTCGCGGTTCTTTCAGGCATTCGTGGCTGCTCTGATCCTTCCCCCACTTGGTCTCTCCCAAGATGGCAGCTCTGGGAGTAGCTGAGCATCTTGAGTTAGAAAGCAATGGATTTCTTGATTCTACTACAAATTACTTTAGTTATAAGCCTTCCAATCTTATATTCCTTTATATGTGGTTTATATGTGGTTCTGAGTTCTAGCACCATCCCTTGAGCCTATTTGGTCTGGTATACTGTGTTGTTGGTGACAGAGCTCCTCACTGCACGTCTACCCAATCCACCATCTGTATATAAAACCTGTGCTGAGTATAAGCTTGGTAAATTATACCCATGAAATTTATACTTTAAAGTACTGTTGATTTGAAATCAAATCTAAGTGGTGATCCCTTATGAAGAAGTTGTTTCTTGAAAGTTCTTAATCTCTTTACAACATGTTTCATTTCATAATGAAGTGAGATTTTTTTTCCATAAATGAATGGGTCTGATCAATCAGAAATCTGAGCCCTGTGACTATACCTTTCAGATTAGAAATTAAAGAGGATTTTCGTCTGTGTGATTGATAGGCCAAATCTGAAGTACATTAATCCTCGAGTAGATTCAAATTAGGTTAATATGTCTATAATAGATTTGAAATTAAAGAGGATTAGAAATTAAAGAGGATTTTCAGATTAGAAATTAAAGAGAATTTTCGTCTGTGTGATTGATAGGCCAAATGTGAAGTACATTCATCCTCAAGTAGATTCAAATTAGGTTAATATGTCTACCTCTGTTTCTATGCAGGACTTTTGGAAACACGGTCAAATTTTTTACTGGGTTGGACTGTCTTATAATAAATCAAATGGCACTTGGTTATGGGAAGATGGCTCTGCCCTCTCCAGGAATCTGTAAGTTTTAGGTAGTCTGGTAACTTTTCTGTCCTTCATGTATGTATGTTGTTGTTATGAGGTTCCATTGAGTCGGTACTGACTTATAGTGACCTTATGTACAACAGAATGTAACACTGCCCGGTCCTGGGTCAACCTCACAACCATTGCTTTGCCTCAGCCTATCACTGCTGCCACTGTGTGTTTATTTTTGTTGCTGTTAAGTGTTGTTGAGTCAGTTCCGGCCCATATTGACCCTGTATAGGGTTTTTGAAGACTGACTGGTGAGCTTCAACTGCCTACCTTGCAGTTAAAATGGCTTTGCAGTCTGGTGCATTAACCCACAGCGCCATACCAGGACTCCGTGTTTATAGAGTGCTTAAATCTTAGTGGTACCACCTGGAAGCAATACAATAAGGGTAAACTATGGTTACGAATCGGGCTGCTAACTTCAGGGTCAGCAGTTCGAAACTATCAGCTGTTCCTCAAGAGAAAGATGAGGCTTTCTGCTCCTGCAAATATTTACAGCCTCGGAAACTCTGTGCAGGGTCACTATGAGTTGGAACCGACTCCACAGCACATAACCACCACCACTACCTTCTAGAGTATGCGATTACAGAAAAGGGATTATTAGGCAAACAGAATACCATTTTAACCCAACCCAAAGCATCCAAATTCATTAAGACTATTAAAAGAAAAAATCAGCAAAGGCAAGACAAACACATTCCTGGCCTCAGTGTTATTGATTATTGAGGAAATAACTCAATTTTCTGTAGCATTGTACTCTGAAATCCTGAAAATTGTGGTTATTGTATATATAAAAAAAAATGAATGCTTCAATATATTAATATCTTATTTAATTAATTTAAAATTCTATTATTTAATTTAAAAATCATCCCTTCATATTCTCATTTCCTTTTCTTATATGTCAACCTTTTTCTTCTTCATTACAGATTTCCATCATTTCAAAATTTAAATCCAGAGAAATGTATTTCGTTTAATCCAAGGGGAGATACTTTGAGTGAAACCTGTAAGATGAAAAATCATTATATTTGTAAGAAATGGCCTATGTAAATGTTTTATGTTTCATGGGTTATGGGGCAGGGTGCAATGCTAAAAATGGCAACTTTATCACATTTTATTACTAAATATCTACTGTAAAATGCTGACTATTGTGATTTATCATGAAATTTCCATATCTTTGCAATCATATTGTTTTAAAGTTGATGGGATTTCTATGTATGTACCTGAAAATTTACAGCATCCATTTAAATAATTTTATGGTTTTGTTTTATTGGATATATTTTAATATCAAATTTAATGTAGCTGTATGTTTATAAATTTTCTCTGTAGAAATTTAAATAAATTTGACATAACATTAAATAATATATCAACTTCATTTAAATATTTCATTATATTTATAGTGTGCCAACCTTGGTGTGGCATGTAAATTCCCATCCTCACCTCATTTTCTTGAGAATAAAATTAAAATGTTAATGCCCTTTCTTAGCTTTTTCTAGATTTTTATTTACAGGAACATCAAATTAGAGATGAAAGTCTTATAGGTCAGTATTGTCATATGTATCATTAAGAGGGGAGCACATATATGTGCCTTCATTAATGCACCTAGATTCTGCAGAATAAATGGAAGGCTTTAGCTATTACATTGCAGTATGACAAATGAGCACCTCCAGTGCTGCATTGGTTTGTTGAAAGATTTCAATTTGTATTCTATCATTCCTGGAGCCTTGTTTTTCATCAATGACTTCCGTATAGATTGTGCTTCTTCCTTTAATATCATCAGTTCTTGGTCATATGGTACCTCTTGAAATTATTGAATATTGACCTTTATTATTATTATTCTGTGTATTCCTTCCACCTATTTTTTTTTTTAAGTGTAAAGATGTACTTTATTTTAAAAAAATAAGTATTTTAAGGACTACAAATTACAAAGTAAAAGCAGACTATGTGGAAACCTAGTGAATATATTTTGTTTGTGCAGGAACACTATCAGTTATTCATTCAACAAATTCACCCCATTTATAATACTCTTCTTTATAAGGCAACTATACCTTTATTTCAAATTATATTTCATGTTATTCCTTCAAGATGAACTTTTAAATACCACACTCTTGGCTCATAAAAAAAAAAAAAAATTGCACCTTAGAAAGTGGCAATTTCTACTCAGTCTATGGTGGCATTATTTCAGGGTAATTTTTTTCACCAGTAAGAAAACCTTACATCTCTCTCACCCCCAAAATTGTGGTCACATTTTGTTTTCTAACGACTACAATGGGTAGCAGCAAGTAAAAGCTGATTTAAAAGAAGCCATTAAAATCGATGGATCAAGCATACAGAAGAAATATTTGGCTCATGGCAATTTAAAAAATGGCAACAAGAGCCTGTATATAGTCAGATGCTTGAATCATGAACAGAAAATATTAAGACACTGAAGCCAGTTCTGTATGACCAAGTGAAATAGATCCTCATTGCACTTCATTCTTTACAATAAATACTCTAAGCCAATAGGAAATACAAGTGATATTTAGAGTCTCAGTTAGAACATGCTGATCATGTGACATTTTCACATGGTTTAGAACACCAGTCATTCGCTTATTTGCACTCTCTCACCAGTCCTTATCAATCTAAGTGTATTACTTGGAATGACAAGTTTTCTTAAGTACTTTTGAAAATAGTTATATGAAAAGAATAACCATTTGGTTTGCCTGGAAAGATATTAACCCAATGCAGAAGTTACTCAGTGGGAAAAAACCTCAATTTTTCTTCTTTCCACCACACCTCTGTCACAAATGATTTCCCAAAGATCTCACGAAGGAATGAAAACCAGTGAGCAAACAAGAGAACTTAAGGACATCTGGGTTAAAAATGCAAGAAAATATGCTAACATATGCTAACATGCAATCAGTGGCCCAAACACTCAAAATTCATGTCAATAAATTCAATTATTATACATGAAGTTTCCACCAATGAATAGGGATCTGGGCTTAAAATATGCCACCTTTTCATTTCCTATCAAATCATCACACAAATCACTGTCTTTTGAGACGTTGCATGCTTTTACAGTTTAATTTGCAAGCAGAATTTTTATAACAAATTGTGTTAAACCAAATTACATTTTGAAAACTGTTTATATAGAAAACCCAGGGAATAAAGTGAACCTGTTCATTGTGGAAGGCCTTAAATTACATTATTACAGTAGAAAATATAGGAGGTAGAAGAGAAGTGTAAAGACTAATACAACATTAGATTCAAATCTATAGTTCCTGTAGCTAGTTAAAACATGGTTTTAGAAATTAAACCCAACATTTCCAGTAACTATAGAATCAATTAAAATAAAATTTGCCATGAAAGTCCTTTTATCATGCTTGATATAGGGAGACAGGAAAATGTAAGAAACAGGACACATGTGACATTGGCATTGTATCTACAACTGCTATTTGCTTTGCTGAGAGTGAAGTTACAAAATTCAGTACCCTTCTTCAGCATTTTTTTTTAAGCCCCTCCACACACTTTTCATTTGCTCAAGGGAGACACTTTTCCACTTTGCAACATGTGCATCTTTATACCACTTCAGAATGGGCTCTTCACTCAGGACTTCAGCTTTATAAAAAAAGCACCACTATTTTCTGGAAGGCTTTCATGAAATGAATGTTGTCCTAGCAATACTCATGAATCTTCAGTAACAGAGTCAGCTTTGACTGACCTTGAGTAGTGAAGGCAGCAAGTAGAGGGCTGTGTTGCTTCTAGTGCTTGATGGCTTGCTGTGCTACAAGCTCCTCTTTTTTATTCCATTCCGCAGTACTCATTACACTGGACCAGATTATTCCAATGGCAACTGGTTCTGGTATGTTGTTATTTTTCATCTCCTCCTTGACATATAAAATTATACCCTTAAATGGATCAACCACCAGAATGCCTAAGAGTGCATCTGCATATCGGCAGTAGTCAAGTTTTTTTCCAGAATCACCAAGAAAGCTAGATACTGCTTCTAAATCAGTACCAGTTTCAGTTGTTGTTGTTAAGTGCCATTGAGTTGATTCTGACCCATAGAGACCCTGTATAGGGTGTCCAAGGAGAAGCTAGTGAGCTTGAACCACCGACCATGTAGTTCAAACGACTTTGCAGTCTGATGCATTAGACCACAGCGCCACACCATCACTCAGTTAAGCCTTGAATAATACAGTCTTGAAATTGAGTAGGGTCAAACCTCTCTTTTTCATCTCTTTTTCTAGTTTTAAAACGCTGGCCTGATAGCATTGGGTTTTGCTGCTTTTGATTATTCATAAAAGACACCTGAATTTAAGGTGAAGAGAAAAGAGCCAGAAACCCTTGATGTGGCGGCAACACTGCTATGTCTCCTCAGTGACCGTTTCCATCTTCTTTTGATGCTGCTTCCATCAGTCAACATCCTGCCCATTGTTTTTCTTGTAAAGTGTTACTGAGTTGGTTCTGACTCAGAGTGACCCTGTATAGAGTGTTCAAAGAGTGGCTTCTGGGTTTGAACTGCCAACCTTGCAGTTAGCAGTCCAGTGCTTATCCTAGAGCACCACACCAGGGCCCCACAAAATCCATCAGTAATGCAAATGGAGGCTTGAATTTTTTCTTCATTTCTTTCAGCTTGAGAAATGCTGAGCATGTTCTTCCTCTTTGGTTTTCTAACTCCAGGTCTTTGCACATTTCATTATAATACTTTATTTTGTCTCCTCTAGCTGCCCTCTGAAAATCCCTGCTCAACTTTTCTATTTCATCATTTCTTCTAATTATTTTAGGTTCTCTATGCTCAACAGCAAATTTCAGGGTCTCTTACAACATCCACTTTGGTCATTTCCTTTTTCCTGTCTTTTTAAATCACCTTTATTAGCTTTTGTCATGGATGATATTTTATGTCATCTCACAACACTTCATCTTCACTCATTAACGTCTAACATATCTAATCTGTTTTTGAGATGGTCTTTAAATTTAGGTGAGATATACTCAATATATAAGGAGCTCTGGTAGCGTAGTGGTTACGAATCGGGCTGTGAACCTTAAGGCCAAGAGTTCGAAACTACCAGCTACTCCGCGGGAGAAAGATGAGGCTTTCTACTCCCATAAAGATTTACACCCTCGGAAATCCTGTATAGGGTGGCTATGGGTCGGAACCGACTCGACGGCACTTAACAACAACAAATACTCAATATATATTTTCGCTTTTGTGGGGCTGTTTTAGTTTTTTTCAACTTCAGCCTGAATAGGAGCAATTGATGGTCTATTTCACTGTCGGTTTATGGCCTTGTGTTGGCTGATAATATTGAGCTTCCCACAAATGTAGTTCATTTGATTCCTATGTATTCCATCTGATGACTTCCATAAGTACGAACACCATTTATATTGCTGGAAAAAAATATTTACAATAAAGAAGTCATTTCTCTTGCAAATTTCTATCATGCTATCACCAGCATTGTTTTCATCACCTAGGGCAAATTTTCCTACTACTAATCTCTCCTCTCAAGTCCACCACATATATGTCAGTTTGATATACTGTGATACCTGGTGTGTTGCTTTGATGCTGGAATCTAAGCCCTGGTACTTTAAATACCAGCAGGTTCACCCAGGGTGGATGGTTTCAGTGGAGCGTCTAGGATAAGACAGATTAGGAAGTCTAGAAGAAAATCCTGATTTTCAAATATATTTTTTAAAACTCTGATGAATTTTACTTTCCCCCCCATGACTTGATGTTTTTGTTTTTAAGTGCTGTCAAGTTGGTTCTGTTTCATGTGGACCCTGTATCAGGTTTCTGAAGAGTGGCTGGTGGGTTCGAACCAATGACCTTGAGGTGAGCAGTCCAGTGCTTATCTTACAGTGCCACAACAGGATTCCTCCCATGCTTTAGCACTTGCAAATCCTCTGAACACAAATTTAAGTAACACAAATAAAATAAAAATAAACTACATCCACATTATTGTAGGGCTATATGTACACTTGGAATCCTGGCATGGTGCTGCAGGATAAGTACTCAACAGCAAGGTAGGTTTGAACCAAAATGTAAGCAGTTCAAACTCACCAGCTGCTCC